ACAATGAGAAATCACCCTCACCCCCACCCCCCAAGGGGATGGCCATGCCACAGTCTCTTCTCCTCCATTCTCCTCTCAGGATTTTGGGCATGTATGCACATGCACCCAGCATGAGTTTAAAACCGCTGGATCTGGGACTTGAACTGTGGTTGGCCATGTGGGAGTCCAGTGATATAACCATTACACCATCTGCTAGTCCCATAATGTCAGAGTGTTTGTTTAACATTCTGTACTTACATTATAAAAAGCAGTTCAGAGAGTCACAGAGAGAGAGAGAGTAAAGATTAGGATTAGGATTCTCTTGTACAAAATAAATAATATATATTAATATATAGGCAGATGAAATTAATTGCTCAAAATCTGAGTCCATGTTGATTGAGTGAAAATAAAATTTAAATCTCTGTCTCCCAGCCCAAATACTTATTTTTAAAAAGAAACAGAAGGGGCCAGCAGTTGGTATGGTGATTAAGGCACTGAACTCCCACGTGGCCACCTGCGGTCCAAGTCCTGCACCCTGTGACTTGAAACAGGCCAGGCACATGTGCATGTGTGTCCGGAATCTCAGGAGGGGAGTAGAAGAGAAGTGGTCATCCCCTCTGGGGGGTGATTTCTCACTTTCTATAGTAAAAAACAAACAAACAAACAAACAAACAAAAACCCTCAATTAATTAATTAATTAATTAAAAAGAAGCAGAAAATGTGAACATCACAGAGAAGGATAGTGAAAGAATAAAAGCTACTCCTAGTCCATCCCCTAGAAATAACCTCTGTAAATGCTTGGTTCATTTTCTTTCTACATTTCATATGATTAAAGTCTCTCCAAGTTTTCTTTTTCATTTGCTATTTTAGACTAAATTTTGCTTGAGCAAAAAATTGAGGTGCAGGTCAACACAGAAATAAGTCCGTTTCAGTTTGGCTTCTGCTTGGAGCCCAAGGGCAAGCCACCTGCTCAGTCGTGTCGTGTTCATCCCTCTTAACCGCTCTGTGCTTTCATTGTCACTCTCATACTCTCGGCAGTCAACATGATCTGAAGATACAATGAAATTGTTTATGCTCCGGCTTAAAATCATCACCAGTTTACCACTGCATTGACTGTCAAACTCCAAATTCCTCACCAAAGTGCACAGAGCTCGCCCTTGTCTTCCTCGTTTTCTATTTCACCTGCAGACTCTAGTATCCTCCCCTCTCACACTAAATGGTAGGCTATTACATTTTTCTTCTTAGAACACTCCAAAGTCCTTCTGACCTCAAAATCTTTGGGCACGCTGTTCCCATTCTTTGTAATGCCTACCCTCGCCTCTCCACTACACTCCAATAGAAGAATCCCCTACTTCCTGTTTTAAAAACTATCAACTCCTTTAGTCTTCATATCAACAATCTTATTCATTTTATAATGCTTATCAAAATATGAAATTATTATATGTTCTCGTTCCTTTTTATGGGGGGGGCGATTGATGGGTGCATGCATTTGCCAGAGAGAGACAGAGAGAAAGAGAGAAAGAACCCACTCATGGAGCATGGTCATGCCACAGTCCATTCTGCATCCTTCCCTCCCCTCCTTTAGGTGTTTGGGCATGTATGCATACAAGCCTGGCACGTTTTCCAAACTGTTAGAGCCGGGATTTGGACCCCGTAGTTGGCCATGTGGGATCCGGTTGTCTTAAACACTAGATCCTTGTTCACTTTAATATTTCACAGTGTTATAAGTCTACATGGTCATTGGTACTCCTGGTCTCAGAGCAGTGTTTATCCTGTCTCGAGATACAGAAAATTTTTGTTAAATTAATAAACAGACCATGATGCCAGTAAAAGTGTCTTTTCAAAAGTGCTTCATTGTAACAGACCTTCTTAAAGACAAGTTTGAATGGAAACTCTCTTTTGTCCATACTTAAAGCCAGTGAGTAAGTGAACACTAATGATTCTTACAGTATTCATTCATTGAAAACGTGCTGAGTGCCTGTTATACGTGAGGTAACGTGGTAGGCCTGGGGAGTGTCGTGGGAGATAAGTTGCTCCCTCACGGAGAACGCTGCAGAGAATAAAACGAGGTCATCTGTGTAAAGCATTTTGTACAATGTCTGTGTGTCGTGGAAGCCTGCGAAGTCTGCCACTGTGAATAACTTGCCCTGTGAGATCATAACTTTAGCTTCCGAAAGCCGCCTTAGCATGTGAGCACTTGGTGACAACCAGGGATGAACGAGAACGCACCGTTTTAGGCGAGAGCTCAGCTTCAGGCTTCATGAGCAGCACACTCTGGTCTACTGCGCGGAGGCCGCAGAGCGAGTGCGGGCTGGCTGACACCTTCAGCTGGGTATCTGAGGCTGGCAGAGCCTGGGCAGAGGAGAAACTCAGATTGACCTGTAAAGAGGGCATAAAGAGGGCATGATTAGAGCAGCAACACTGATAATAACACAGTCTCAAAGCTCCTTCTACTCTGGTCTAAAACTAGTGTTTTCTTTACTTGCTTGCCACTTTATTCATCTTAAGAGTTGTAGTAAAAGGTGAACCAGTCCAAGAACTACCAATTCCTAATATTTCTAGAAATCCTGGAAATACGATTGCAATTAACTCATATTTCCTGCTCCTTATGTAATGATGGGCTATAAGCTGTTTTTGATCACATTGAAATAGAATCCTGAAAGAGGCTGAAAACACACTTATTCAGAAAAATGCATGCCTTGCTGCAGCTCCCCGAGCCCCAGGCAGTGTTTCTGTGATAAATATGTATACTTTGCTTGGCTGTGAAAAATCACACTACCTCTGAGACCACCAGCTGAAGTCCGCATGAGGTAATAGACAGACTTGGTCACCTGAAATTCTAAAGCAATTTATCATGATTGGAGATTTAGTGGGCCACTTAAAAAATTAAACATCTTATATGTACCTTAAGAGTTCATTGGTTTTGGGGACCAGCAGATGGCATAATGGCTATGTCGCTGGACTCCCATGTAGTCGACCGTGGTTTGAATCCCAGACCCTATGGCTTAAACTCATGAGTGTGCATGTGTGCCCAAGATCCCGAGAAGAGAATGGAGGAGAAGGGATTGCGGCACGGCCATCCTCCCAGGGGGTGATTTCTCGCTTTCTGTCTCTCTGTCTCTCTCTGTCTTTCTGGCGAGCACACGTACCCTAAAGCAAAAACCTCTCTAAAAAAAAAAGTTCATTGGTTCTGAAAATTTCAAAAAAAAGTAAATAAAGAGAAAGAACACCAAGATTATGGAAAATTATACAAATTTTTCCCCAGAGATTTGGTTCTGCTTTGGCCAGTAGACATTCATTGAAAAATTAATCTATGGGTTCTGTCTGTTTATGTAGACATTTTGAGTGGAATCTGGGTTATTGTCAAGTTATACAGTAGTTGCATTTAGGTAATTTCCAGGTTATTGAACTGAAAACTGATTTGGATAGGAATGAAATGTCAGTATGTTCAGCTAAATAACTTTTCACTTAGGTTGCTGAATTTACCTATGACAATCTTGCTATGTGGTCTACTAATTAAAGTAGCAGTTTGGAATTATGGATCATGAGGCATACATGAAAAAATGATCTATCCTCAAGATGCAGTAGTATTGGGAACCAGTAGTTAGCGTAATGGCTATGTCGCTGGATTCCCATGTAGTCGACCGCGGTTTGTGTCCCGGACCCGGTGGCTTAGAACTCATGCCAGGCGCGTGTGCGTGCGTGCCCAAGATCCTGAGAGGAGAATGGAAGAGAAGGGATTGTGGCGTGACCATCCCCCCTGGGGGGTGATTTCTCGCTTTCTGTCTTTGTCTCTCTCTGTCTGTCTGGCGAGTGTACGCGCCCTATAGTGAAAAACCTCTCAAAAAAAAAAAAAAAGATGCAGTAGTATTTATCCCTCTAATTCAATATATTTTAAAAACACTGCTTATGGAAAATTCTATTTTTATATGTTTGTTTTTATTTTTAGAAAATTTAAGTTCATTAAAATATGTTTATGGGGACCAGCAGTTAGCGTAATGCCTATGTTGCTGGACTCCCATGTAATCGACCATGGTTCAAGTCCTGGACCCGGTGGTTTAAATTCACGTGGGGCACGTGTGCGTGTGTGCCCAAGATCCCTAGAGGAGAATGGAGGAGAAGGGATTGCGGCATGGCCGTCCCCCCTGGGGTGGGGGTGATTTCTCACTTTCTATCTCCCTGTCTCTCGCTGTCTTTCTGGTGAGCACATGTACCCTATAGCAAAAACCTCTCCAAAAAAAAAGTTTATGAATTTTCACATCAAATAAGTAAGTTAAGGCACTGAGTCTCTTCTCAGTCTTTCTGGAACATAGAAGATCGAAAGAGAGAAGGTACCATGTTCTTGGATACGCCCTCCAGCTTCACTGCATTCTTTAGTAAAATGGAATTGAAGACTTGTGTCAGAATCTGCTGTGTGTTTTTCTTAGCTAATTATATACTACAAACAGATCATCTAAATTCAGTTCTCATGGCAGAAATGTTCACTTGCTAAAAATTCTCATTGTTTTAATCTCCTTAAACAGTCCTTTTATTTTATTATTTTTTTTCTTTTTTTAGTTTTGCTATAGGGCGTGTGCACTTGCCAGGAAGAGAGAGAAAATGATAAGTCATCTCCCACTGCAATCCCATGTCCTTCATTGTCATCACAGGATTTGGGGCATGCACACACATGAGCCCAGTATATTTTCCAAGTCACTGGGTCTCGGACTCGAACCATGGAGTCAACCATGTGGGATCCAGCCCTCTTTTTGGTGTACTTTTTAAAAAAAATATATAAAGTAGAGAGATTGAAGGAGCAACAGGGGCAACACTGAAGCAAAGACTGCCCAGCCTGCACTGATCACCAGAGACTCCCACCCAGCCTGTAGTGGGGGAGGAGGGGCTGCACAGCCCTTCAAGGACTAGCACTGAGCTCCAGCAGTCCCAGAGATAGAAGGTAGGAGCTGCTACCCCATCTGTGCTGATGCCACCCTGCCTCTCACCTGTCTAGAAGCAAGAGGGATACAAAAGCCACCCAGCCTGAGCTGAACATTGAAGGGACCCCCACCTTAATCGGATTACCACCATACATTGTACCTGTCTAGCTCAGCCTCCAGTCTCACTGGGAGCAGAAATTGGGTATACAGAAAGCAAACATCTGAAGACGGTGAGGTTTTGGGGAATTCTCTACCCACAACCTGCTTGGCAGTAAAAGGAGAGAAAATCCCCTCTGAAAATCCAACCCCCCAAACTCCCATGTGGATACCACACTCCCATCCACAGTGGAGGAGGGAAACTGGCACAGAGCTAACTTGCACCATAGGGAAGGACAGGGGCCCACAGCTACAGAGACATACAAAGAAGTAGGAAGAAGAGATTATATCACGAGATGACTAAAAATCAAAGCAGAGCCAAAAATGGGAGAAAACCAGGGAATACATGCTCCTCACCCATCCACTGGAATAGACTAATTTCTTACTAACAATAGTTAAAACCAGAAATCACAGAAATGTCAGAAAAAGACTTCATAATATTCATTGTATCAAAAGTCAATGAACTGCAAGAGAAAACAGACAATCAATTCCAGAAAAGGAGACAATCCTTCCATGACTTGAAGGAAGAACTCCATAAAGAGACAGAAACAGTGAAAAAGAACCAAACTTTGGAGATAATGTTTGGAGATAAAGACTACAGCATAGGAAATCAAAACCTCCCTCTAAATATGAACAGCAAATTAGACCATACAGAAAATAGAATCTCTCACCTTGAAGACAAAACCTCTGACTTAGTCCAAACAACCAAAAAGAATGAAAGAATAACCATTAAAAATGAAGATAACAGGGGGCCAGTAGATAGCATAATGGTTGCATCGCTGGACTCTCAGGCTGGACCTGGAGGCTTAAAACTCACACTGGACATGTGTGCATGTATACCCAAAATCCTAGGTTGAGAATGAAGGTACTGTGGTGTGGTCATCCCCTCTGGAGGGTGATTTCTCACTTTCGGTCTCTCTCAGTCTCTCCAGTGAGCATGTGTGCCTTACAGCAAAAACCCCTCTTAAAAAAAAAAAATAAGCACTGCCTTATAGCAAAAACCCCTCTTAAAAAAAAAATAAGAATTCACCCAAACTAGACTCGCTCATCAGGAAATACTTAAAGGAAAACTACATTAGAAAACTAAAGGGAGATAAAGAGAAGTTAAAAAACACAAAGCAATTAAGAAAAACAAAAAAGGGGTCATAAATATGGCAAAACACAAATAAAAAAAAACAAATGAGAACTTTGTAAATAAAAGAGTTTGCATGATAAAAATTCAGATTCAACTATTTTACACACAAGTAGGTTTAAGTACGAATTCACCAGATTTTGGATAGACAGTTGTCTTAACAGGTTTCATGTTATATTTATAATTATAATCATTATTCATTTTATAAAACTATATAACAGAGGAAAAGTTCAAAATGCTACCAGTAGCTGAGTCTTTGGAATGAATTTAAAGAAGGCTAACAGTTAAGAACTTCATAAAGCCTATAAATCACCAAATTGCTGGCTTTACCATGTCTTCACTTTTAAACATCTATTTAATTTTTTTTGTTTTACTTTTTTGAGGACTTTTTTTAAAAAAAAATATTTATTTATTTATTTTTATTTGTTACTATTTTTTAATTTGACAAGAGAAGGAGAGAGAGAAAAAAAGTGAAAGAGTAAGCCACTGGGTCTGAGACTTGAACTGTGGTCGGTCAAGTGGGCGTCCAGCATCTTAAACACCATGTCACATGCCGGCCTGAGGACTTGTTTCTTTATACACAATATAACACTGTGTTCTTACAAGAACTCACAGTGAGTAAGTAACTTTCTTTTTCTCTTCCCAATGAGCTAATGTTATCTACAATTTTACCTATCTCTAGCTGGACCGATAAATGATACCACAGATATTTTCAGATTATAAACTCTTATCTCCCACACTCTTTTCCATAGAAATTACAAATTCTTTTTTCACTGGCTATGTTAAGATGATCTTTGCTTTGGGGCTAGAAGGTGGCATGGTGGTTAAGGGTGCTAGACTTCCACATAGCTTGACCATGGTTCAAGTCCCTGACTGGGCAGCTTGCTTTCTCATTTGCCCTCTCTTCCTTTTTCTTCCTATCTCACTCTGTTCCTCTTTGGTCCAATTTTAAAATGAAATAAAGTTAAATAATTCTTTAAAAATAGATTGCCTTTGTTTTTTAAAAAATATATACTTATTCATTTATAAGACTTTTTTTCTGATTGTTAATTACTTTTTTTCCCTTTAGAACTGCACATTACAGTAAAGAACATCGCTGATAATTTATTATATACTTTTAAAATAGCCGGTGGAGCGAATTTCAAATGTGTGGAGTATAATGTAACGTTACATGTCGAAGGTGGCGAATATGTTTATATCCTCAATTTGTTTATTACACACCGTGTACATACTTTAAAAACCATACCATACCCTACAAAAATGTATCATGATTATATGTAAATTGGAAATTACAGTAAAAATCACTTTTTAAAAATTTGAAGTAGGCAGAGCCTATCTGGTTGCTAATAGGATTATTGTAATGGAGCAGTAAAAATCCACCTCCACAGTAGCAAATTTTGTTGGGATAAAGTTTATTTTATCTCCGTGGGCTTCACACTGCAACTTTGTATGCTTTAAACATAAAAGATTTCCCACCTGCATCTATACTAGATTTTTATACTATAATCATTGTTAGAGCTCCTGGGTATATGTTTCTTGAAATGGGGTTCATACACATATACCCCTGATTTGTATTATCAGACTGAATCCGAATTCACAATATCTTACTGGTTTCTGCGGTGGTACATGGGGGAATGCCAGCGTGTGAGGGAGTAAAATTGACACATCTTTCTGAAGCATCAATTTTAATTGAAAATTTTGGTAACAACATATTTTAAAATTAAAACTACTAAAAATGTATATTGGAATTGACTTTGAAACCCATATTAATTTTATGATAAAATGTTTGATAAAACAAGAAACTTCTAAAAAATTATTTTTTGTTTATTTTTAGAGAGATTTTGCTGTAGAGTGTTTGTGCTCACTGGAGAGACAGAGAGAGAAATCGAGAAAGTGAGAAATCACCCCCCAGGGGGCATGGTCACTCCACAATCCCTTCTCCTCCATTCTCCTCTTGGGATTTTGGACACACATGCACACATGCTAGTATGAGTTTCGAGCTGTCGGGACTAGAACTCAGACCATAGTCAGCCATGTGGGAGTCCAACACCTTAACCTTTACACTACTTGGTGGCCCACAAACAAGACTTTTTAAAAATTGTGTTCATGGCCACCTGATTTGGATATGACCACTTGATCTCTCAAGGTTGACATCACTGTCTGCTTCCTTTGGAGGAATAATTGAGGAACACTGTCTGGTAGTCTTTTTTTTTTTTTTTTTAAGAATTATTTATTTAATTTTATTTATTCATTCATTTATTTTAATTTGACCAGACACAGACACAGAGAGAGAGAGAGAAAGTGAGAAAGCGAGCCACCAGGTCCAAGACTCAAACCGTGGTCAGCCATGTGGGAGTGTCCAGCACTTTAACCACCACGCCACCTGCTGGTCCCTGCCTAGTAGTCTTTTCATGTATACAGTGTCTTTATTTTCTACACTTGAAAGGGAACAGAATAAAAGGATGAAGATGAAATGAAACAACCCACCTTGTTGGCAAAGCAGGTTTCAACCTGGAGTTCCTCAGTGTCTGCGATAACTTCTCCATTAGGTAAAATGGAATAAATAAGCAGCTGACCCTTAGGTGCAATGTCCGGTCCCACTTGGAAGGAGAGGGAGAAGACCCCTTTCACTGGAAAACAAAGTGCAAGGTTTTAGAGCAGGAACGAAGCTCTCTATTGTATAAAGAAGGGCTTCTCAGATTATTTCACGTATTCGCATTTGGAGTACATGGAAGGAAGACTTGCATTTATAACACTATAACACCTTGGCAGGTAGTGGCATTCCGTTGGCATATGTGGGACAGACGACATTTCCCTTAAAGGCATAGGTTTAATTGTTCATTTCCTGTGCCTTCATTGGAAAAAAAATCCATGCATGTCTCTATTTCTAAATGATAAGAAGATATTTATTTTTAAAAGAAGATGCTGAGTGAGAAGAAAGGAGAGAACTTTAGACGTCTTTATCTCTAAGATCCAGATCAACTAATTTCTTGCTATGGCGTGGAGAAATGCAACACAGTGTCTCCTTTCGGGCCATTTAAAACAGAGCAGTGATGTGAGTACAGGTAGTCACAGACCAAACATTGGGAGCCTCTGATTTTTTTTCCTTTTTTTTTTTTTTGGAGAGGTTTTTGCTATAGGGCACGTGCGCTCACCAGACAGAGAGAGACACAGAGGTAGAAAGGGAGAATCACCCCCGCAGAGAGGATGGCTGCTCTGCAATCCCTTCTCCTCCATTTTCCTCTCGGGATCTTGGGCATACACACACACGCACCCAGTGTGTTTAAGCCACCAGGTCCGGGACTCGAACTGTGGTCGACTACATGGGAGTCCAGCGACATAGCCATTATGCCAACTGCTAGTCCTGAGTCTCTGATTTTTATAAAAGAATTCTATGTATTATCATAGCGGTTGTTTTGGTATAAATTGCATAGCACTTAGGTAACAAATCTACTTGCTTTTAAAAATAAATTCTTATTTAAAAACTTTACTCAGACAGAGAGAGACACAGAGGTAGAAAGGGAGAATCACCCCCGCAGAGAGGATGGCTGCTCTGCAATCCCTTCTCCTCCATTTTCCTCTCGGGATCTTGGGCATACACACACACGCACCCAGTGTGTTTAAGCCACCAGGTCCGGGACTCGAACTGTGGTCGACTACATGGGAGTCCAGCGACATAACCATTATGCCAACCGCTAGTCCTGAGTCTCTTATTTTTATAAAAGAATTCTATGTATTATCATAGCGGTTGTTTTGGTATAAATTGCATAGCACTTAGGTAACAAATCTACTTGCTTTTAAAAATAAATTCTTATTTAAAAACTTTACTCTCCCCTTGGACATCTGGCAATCTCACTGGACAAAGCCTCAGGTAACCCTTTAAAGTGACAAATAAAAATGAAGCTTTCAAAAACTAATTTGCATAAATCAGAGGTTAATGTTTCTAAAGTATAAGAGAAAGAAACAAGAGATAATGATAAGCAAAAAAAAAAAAAAAAGGTGCCATAAAAGGAGGGTTACGGTGGTACAAGCATGGTTTTACTAAAAAGATGGAAAGGAACGGTTCTAACATAAAGTATTTGGTATAATAACATTTCTGTCTTTAGGAAAATGGCTAAAAAGACCAAACAGACTTACAAAACAGACTTACAGAACGTTGGTAATGCGATAGGAAGTTAGCCAGTAATAAGCGTGTGCCCTAGTGTTAGAGCCTAGGACTTAAAAAAGTTTGATAAAATTAGTTTTGTTGATAACTGCTCTAAAGGTGGTCATACTAGTAGGATGCTGTCAGTCACAGTTCTGCATGTTACTGTAAGTGCTCTATGCAACCGGAGTAGCTGCATCTTTGTCACATCATAATTGTAATAAACTGCTCTCCTTTAGAATCCACCAAGCTACAGATGGTGGTCTGGACAGTCTCCAGTGAATTCTTGTCATGACTTCTAAGGGGACACACTGGATAGACCTCTGAAAAGCCCCTGCCTGCCATGTTCATCATCATCGTCCCATATCAGCAGGAGCAGCCAGAACAGCCCATTACCCTAAGGGCAGTTAGGGGTACTTCTTCAGGGGGGGATTGAGACAGAGTCAGACCCACTTACTGGTGGACAGGGCAGTCCCACCCCTGGGGAGAGCCCCTGCTGTGTGGCTCCTGGCATTCCCTCTCCTCCCAGTCACCCTGTCCATCCGACCTTAGTGAGACATAGAAATCTTGTTCTTGATTAATTCATGGCCCACAGCTTCTAGACAAACAATCTCCTGACCTCCGTACCCACTCCAAAATGAGAGTAATCGGACCCATCCAGCATGTGCCCCTTCCCACACACCCCTCCTAGAACTAGTCAGGACAAAGCCCTTCCTGACCCACATAAAAACCCCTCCACAGTTCCTCCTTGGCTATCCATTTTCTGGGGCCCCTCCCTTCTTCTTGGAGCTGTTTTTCCTTCCCTCTCCTTCAATAAACTCTGTTTTTCTTTCTCTCTCCTTCAATAAACTACACATACATACTGTTTTTCTTTCTCTCTCCTTCAATAAACTACCCACTTTTAATAAATAAATATATATATACACACATACATACACACACACATTTTTTCCCTCTATACCTAAAAACCAAAAAAACTATATTCTTTATATCAATAAAAGATTTGAGGGCAGCTTCTGGTGAAAGCACACAACAACAGAGTCAAAATAAACTTGAAATAATCATACGGAAACCTAAGGTGGAGTTCTGCAGCAGAGTTAAACATACGCAGGAATTAATTTTATAAGGAACCAACAAAATGGTCATGGCACCACAGGGTTAAATTTAAGCCCGAGTTTCTTAGATGTCGGGGCGAGTGGAGCCCGGGGGCTAGTGGAGCGGTGCAGGGCCTCAGTAACACCTGATGCTGATGACTGAAATGATGGCATTGGGGGTGTTTGAGCTGGGGAGATTTTCCTGGGGTTTTGGTTTTGGTTTTATTTGATTTTGAGTTTGTTATAGTCTGTCACCAGAAAGAGGCACAGAGAGAGAGGGGACATGAGTGACTGTGCTAGGCAGTCAGGTAGCGATGAGCGGGCAGCCCTAAGAACGGAGCAGAAGGACACATGCCACATTGGTCAGGTAGCGATGAGCGGGCAGCCCTAAGAAAGGAGAAGGACACATGCCACATCAATCACAATTTATCAGGAGGTACAACCAAACCCTCCATGAAAATGCCTTCTTCCCACCCAGATCCTGGCGCCAGGAAAGCTAGGCAAATCCCATTTTTCTTCTTTGGTACCTGAGGAAGCCACATAGGGATGATTGCAATTTCTCTTATCATTCTTCACAAATACAAAAAAGACCCTACCAAATGTTCAACTAATTGGGCAGTTCATCTTAATTAGGATACTGCTATCCTCAATACTTAGACTGGGCATGGACTGGGAGGTACTCAACTTCCTCAGATTCTTCACCTGAGGATGCCAAAGCTCAGGAGAAACCCTCCCCCCCAATTGAAACAAAGAACATCGACAGTATGACAGATCGATAGTATGACAGGTGTTAAATATTCATTATCACCTCTAAGAATAAAAGGAACACCTAACCAATTGCAAACACAGTTGCTACCTAGCAACCTGCCCGCCCCAAAGACTTTTGGGTGTACCTTTTTTTTTTTTCCCTAAAATTTTTCTTTTCTATGAAATTCTCTTTCCTACCTACTTTTATTGTGGTTGTTGATTTATTTTGTGCCTAGGGACAGCTCTCTAATTTTAGTGACCTGGACCCAAAGAACCAAGGATTTTACACAACACAACTCAGCACTTTCCCATCCTATGACACAATCACTCCTGGGGAGGATGGCCACTCCGCAATCCTTCCCTAGGCCGCTCTCAGAATTTTGGGCACCCATGCATATGTGACTGATGTATTTTTCAAGTCACAGGGTCCATGCAGTCGGCTATGTGGCATCTAGCCACCTTAATCTCCGCGCTACCAGCTGACCCTGGGATTTTTGACACCAGCTAACGCTGCAATGAATTGAGATTGTTGAGGATGTTGCATAGGGTTAATGTACTTTGAATGTGGAATAGATGTGAATCTTTGAACATAGAGGGAAGATTGTTGTAACGGAAATAACAGCCACTCAAGACAACCAATCTCCACACCTTTGATCATTACTTTATATAGCAAAAGGCCCTTTGCCGATGTGATTAAATGAAAAACCTCAAGATGTAAAGATTATCCTGGATTCTTGAAATGGGTCCAATGTAATCAGAAGAGTCTTTATAAGAGGAGAAACAGGGAGGTGAGACAGAGATTTGAAGACCGTACAGTCCTGGCTTTGAAGATAAGAGAAGGAACTACCAACCCAGGAAGGTAAGAGACCTCTGGAAGCTAGAAAAGACAAGGAAACAGAGTGCCCCCTGAGCTCCAGAAGGAATGCAGGCTTGCTGACATCTTGGCTTTAGCTCAGTGGGACTTCTGACTTACAGATCGGTGGGAGAGTACATTTGCATGATCTTAAACCAGTAAATTTGTGAATATACTGGCAAATGAAGATAAAGTTCTGTTTTTTCAGTAGTTTTTTGATGGTTTTTTACCTTTTAAAAATATTAAACTTTAGAGACCAGCAGATGGAGTAATGAGTACGTTTCTGGACTCCCATGTAGTAGGCAGTGGTTTGAGTCCTGGACCCAGCAGCATAAAATTTATGCCAGGCGCATGTGCATGGGTGCACAAGATCCTGAGAGGAGAATGGAGAACTGACTGTGGTGTGGCCATCCCCCTGGGGGTGTCTCTCTGTCTTCCTGTCTCTCTGTCTTTCTCTGGTGAGTGCACACATCCTATAGCAAAAATCTCTCCAAAAAAAAAAAAAAAAAGAAAAAAGAACAAAAGCTATGAAAAACTATTTAATTTGTAAGCAAATATATGTTTGAAGAATGAAATTTTAAATATAAGAATGCTATAAAAGGAAGGAAAAATAATGTTCAATAGGTTGAAATGGAGCCATTATGCCATCCTATTTGATGGGCTTCCCAGTCTTTGGCTGTCAGAAGGCTGGTAACCATTTCCTCCGATGTGAACACAGCTCCAACTTGCTTAATTGTTCATGATCTGACAACTTGAAAAGGAGAAGAAAACAAAATCTTGGAAATACTTACTGTCTCCTTGTTTAGCAGACAGCACATGGATTCCTGATTGGGTGATGCTTCCTTTTGCTTTGATCTGAAGACAGAAATATTGTTGTCAAGTATCCATAGTAACCTTACTTTAAAATATTCAAAATAAGTAAAATAAACAACAGTCTTACTACTCCAAACCACAAGTTATTTTTGATCACTGAATTTCCTTTCCAATATTTTTCTATATGTATATTTATATATTTTAAATAACAAATATATAATTTACAGTGTTTCTCTGTTTTTAATATGAACCATTTCTATAAGATATTAATATTTAAAATTTACATATTATTTTAGCAAATACTTTACTTTTCATATTTTTTAAAGATTTTTGTCATAGGGTGCTTGTGCTCACTGAAGAGGAGAGAGACAAAGAGACAGTGAGAGAGAAAGTGAGAAATCACTCCTCGGGGGGATGGCAATGCCACAATCCCTTCTCTTCCATTCTCCTCCTGGAATTTTGGGTGCACATGCACATGGGCCCGGCATGAGTTTCAAGCTGCTGGGTCCAGGACTCGAACTGTAATCAACCATGTGGGAGTCCAGTGCCATAACCACTATGCCAAATGCTGGCCCCTCAACAAGTACTTTAAGCATCTAGTCAATACAAAGTATATATGATTTAGGCAGATAGAAAATACACATAAATATTCTCTATGGTTGCCTCTATTTAGAAAAAACTCAAATATGTAGAGCATTCTCTTTGTGCTAGGCAATAAACTAAATAATTTAATTATTTAATTTGCACAGCAATTTCGCGGACTAGGTATTGATATTATTGCCAGTACTCAGGTGAGCTGATTGACATTTGTCTCTCCCCCCCCTTTTTTTTAAAAGAGGTTTTTGTCTTAGGGTGTGTGTACTTGTCAGAATGAGACAAGAGACAGGGACAGAGACAGAGACAGTGAGAGGGAAAGTGATAAATCATCCCCCAGAGGGGATGGCCATGCCGCAATCCTTTTCCTCTATTCTTCTCCCAGGATCTTGGGCACCCGCGCACATACGCCCGGCTTGATTTCCAAGCCACTAGGTCCAGTACTTGAACTGCAGTTGACCATGCGGTAGTCCAGCAATGTAGCTGATATGCCATCTGCTGGCCCCCTGACATTTCTCTTTACTGAGCAAATTAGAAAAATTACCCAAGATTAAATAACTAGGAAGCAATGGGCTTTCAATTTTTCTACTTTTCCATTAGAATTAAGAAAATGTTACCTAAAGTTCCTATTCAGAATTTTCTACATCTAACTCTTAATTTGTTGAAGTGATTTATTGGGTTGTCAGGAAAGTCATGATGCATTTTTCCATAGAAAAGTCACAGAAACTTCATGACTTACTTGGCGACCTACACTAGTCATGCACTTTGTAAACGATTTATAATTGAGTATTTTCCCTGACCATTGTCTATAACTACTTTTATTTTCTTTTGACTAAGTCCTTGGTTCTTGACTGTTGCTTATTTATGTAGTGAATTCTAAGAAACACATTGTCTCTGACTAACAGAGTTTTTCTTCCTAGGCTCACTCTTCTCCCATTCAAGATTTGTCATTGGAACTCAGCGAGGGAAAAAAAAAAAACCTTGAAACTTTCAGTTGTGGCCACAATATAGACAAGAAATTAAAACATTAATAATTTGTTAGAAAGGAATTGTCTTCAAGAATAACCCCCTCCCCCCCATTAATAGTTTTATCTTCTAGAAAGCATTTGATGGGAACCCATTGGAGTCTGTACAATTAGAAAGTGTTACAGTGGCTCTTACTCTTACCAGATAATAGAAGGTTATCTCTTTTTCATCCTTCAGAATCTGTCCATTCAGAATGTAGTGTGCCCGGATCTTCTGGGTTTGTCCACAGGTTAAAGTGCCAACGGGAGCTTCAAGGCTAACATAACTCTTGCTCGGGGAATAAATATGCTTTGCGGTATGGTGTGCTTCTGTGTGAAATTCATCCATCCACGTGTTATCATAACAGTTAGAGTTCTGCTTGTAACTGACCTAAGGAAGAATAAATGGACTATTGTTTTACATATTAATAACACATATTATGGCACCAGGTGAGAAGGCTGCTTTCCCAAATACAACATAATCTACTTTCTCTCAAGATTATTTAAGTTTACAAGGCATGATTCAGTGGATCATATCTCCTCTGCAATCAAGACTTTTTCTAACATCCTTGTGGCTATAAATTGCCCAGGAACATCTGAATATTCAATGCAAAGCAAAACAAAGAGTATGTCAAAGAAACCAAGCAAAAGCTAACTTGTATTAGATTATAAATACATTAAAATGTTCAAGGTAACACCAAGATTTATTCAGTGTCTCTCAAAACCAGACCATGTTGAAAATGGTATCTAAAAGTTTTGGACAGAGAATGTTGTGCTGCATATAACTTTTGGTCTCCACATGGATTCATTTGTATTTTACTCTTTATCAACTTGGCTTTTTCTCTGGAGTTCACATGAATCTCACGTATCCTTAAATTACATGACTCTAAGGCTTTCCGTCTTTTTAGTTTCATTCACCCTTCCACTTACCGTAACTGTAATGGAAGAAGCTGTGAAGTTGGTGGTGTCAATAGAAAAGTCCACTAAACCGTGCTCATTAGTAAGAAAAACTAATGGGTGGGGAATTACATCCACGCTGACCGATATAGGTTTTTTAGGGATTGGCTGATCCTTCTCATTAACAAGAAGAACCTAAAAACATGAAAACGATAGCCAGTAACACGTGTCAGTTAGCAATAACGTCTCCACTCCTCGTCATATTCACTTCTTTATCTCTTCTTGGCCACGCCCTTCATCTACCTAAGAATCTGAAAATAAGACTTGTTTCTGAATCTAAGCTATGATTTTTCTTTTCTATATTTAAAAATAATTTTGAAAGTCGGATGGTATTTTTTATTACTATTGTTTTTTTTGTAAATAATTATTTATTTTATTTATTCATTCATTAATTTTTTGGTTTGACCAGAGAGCGACAGAGGGTAACAGTGAGAAAGAAAGGAAGTGAGAAAGTAAGTCACCAGATTCAGGACTTGAACCCTGGTTGGCCATGTGGGAGTGTCCAGAGCCTTAACCACCACATCACCTGCTGGTCCCCTTTTATTACTATTGTTAATTGACAAATCATGATCATATGCATTTCTGGGGTACACTATGATTTTCAAAATTAATTTTTTAATAAACTTTCAAGTTCATTTATTTATTTCATAAGAGAACAGGAGAGAGAGATGGGGATTCCCTAGTAAGCTCCCACCTTAGCACGAGTCTCCACACAGCCTTTGAGCCAGGGAGGGTCTCAGGGGCACCTGTGGGCACACCAGGTCTTCACATATAGCTGGTGTCACACGGAGGTGCCCTACTGCCTAGTGCTGTGATAGGCCACACGGGGATTTTCTAATACGCATATGTAATGTGAAATGATTAAATCTAGCTAGTGAACACGGTCACCACCTCTCTTGTTTATCTTTTTTTTATGGTGACATCTTTGAAATTTTACTAAGTTATTCTGAGATATACAACACATTATTTTCTGTGCTCACGCTGTTGTGCAATAGATCTCAAAATCTTTCTTCATTTCTATTTAGGTATCTCGTGGGCCCCCAGATAGAGAATATTTGAAGTGGATCTTGCAGTCACCTTCCGAAACTTTCTTTCCCTCCTGGGTTCCCTATTTCAGTGGATGGTGCTTCTGTGAATCCAGTAGTTTATAGGGGAATACTGAGGACCTTTTTCAAGTTCTTTCATTGTCTTTATTTAATTCATTGCCAAGGGTCGTCTCTCTGTGTGGCAGGTATCTTTTATCCTATCTGTAGACTCAAGGGAGAGATGGCCAGTTTGTGACTGGGGACCTCTTTGAGCAGGTTGGGGCCACATGTGCTCAGGATCTGAGCTGGCTGAGCTGGGGGTGGATCCTGGTGTCAGGACCGTAGGGAGGGCTGAGTCTCAGTCTCCCTCTCTATGGCTCTTTTTGTTTCTGTCTCATCCATGGAATAAATGTTAGGTCATTGGAAAAGTCATGATGTGTTTTTCTATGCAAAAGTGCATCAAGACTTTTCTGATGACCCAATGTAATAAAAAAATTGTTTAAAAAACCAAAATATTATTTTTCTCCTGGTTCCCAATACCTTTCTGCCTCACCCTTGCTCCAAACCATGCACCGTACAGCATAAACTAATCTGATCATGCTACTCTCCTTAATTTCAGTCACTTCTCAATCCATAATTTTTTCTAATGGATTTTTTTTGCTATAGGGTGCATGGGTTCACTTGCGAGACAGGGGGAAACAGAGAGAAAGAGAGAAATCATCTCCCAAGAGGGATGATCGTGCCTCAATCCCTCCTCCTCTTGGGGTTTTGAGCATGCACACACATGTGCGCAGCATGAGTTTCAAGTCTCTGGGTCTAGGTTAGGTCATTGGAAAAGTCATGATGTGTTTTTCTATGCAAAAGTGCATCAAGACTTTTCTGATGACCCAATGTAATAAAAAAATTGTTTAAAAAACCAAAATATTATTTTTCTCCTGGTTCCCAATACCTTTCTGCCTCACCCTTGCTCCAAACCATGCACCGTACAGCATAAACTAATCTGATCATGCTACTCTCCTTAATTTCAGTCACTTCTCAATCCATAATTTTTTCTAATGGATTTTTTTTGCTATAGGGTGCATGGGTTCACTTGCGAGACAGGGGGAAACAGAGAGAAAGAGAGAAATCATCTCCCAAGAGGGATGATCGTGCCTCAATCCCTCCTCCTCTTGGGGTTTTGAGCATGCACACACATGTGCGCAGCATGAGTTTCAAGTCTCTGGGTCTAGGACTCGAACTGTAGTCAGCCACGTGGAATCCGGCAATGTAACCATTGCTCCATCTGTTGGTCCTTCAGCTCACAATTCTAATTTCCTGAAAGGCTTTCATATCTGTCCCAGCTCACCTACCCTCATCCAGTTCTGTTCTACATTTTCTTTTAGTTGCCATCACACTAGGAAACCTTTACTTCTTTGTTATGAAAAGATGTTGGGTGCCAGGGCCTTGGTCATTCTGTCTCCTAGCTTCAATTTCTTGCCAAGCCACACCCATCCTTCAAGTTGTCAGCTTTCTCATGATCGCGCTACCTGAAATGGCCTTACCAAATTTTATACTAATTCATTTCTTGTCAACTTGATAAGAAACATTGGAATAAGTGAAGGAAATACAAGATTAAATATAGAATATTAGATTTAAAATTTAAAATATAAAATGAAAAAGTGCCTTTAAGCTGTCAAGTCAAGGTTAGTCACTACAAAAAAAGAAAAAAAATTAAGGATGCCCACAAATCTTCTATCTCTCACATAAAAACAATTTGATAATGTACTAAATGAGATTATCAGGCTCGATATTACTTATAACAAGTTTTGAAGCTGCAAAAAAAAAAAACGTTTTAAAATTGTCAGTAATAAAAACAATTCAGAGACAATGGCCTGCAGGAGGCATGGTGGTTAACCGTGCTGGACTCCCACATGCTCCATCATGGTTCAAGTCTAGGTCCTGTTGGCTTTTTTTCTCACTTTCCCACAATCTCTCTCTGTCCCTCTGTGGTCAAATTAAAATAAAATAAATAAATAAGTAAACAAAGTTGGATAAAATAATTCTTTAAGAGAAAACAATTCAACCACTTATAGGAAAGAGTATCTTTTTAAAAATACTTATTCTTATCAATAAGCAATAATTTGTATTCAGAGAGAACAATAGGATCTTTCCATATAAAATTATAGTGCACAATGATTAAATCAGGGTAATTAGCATGTCCTTCATCTTAGCCATGTAAAATTATTTTTTTTAGTTACTCTGAGACAAACAGTAGGTTATTGTCAACTATACTCTCCCCATATAACACTAGAAATTATGCCTTTATCTATCCATAATTTTGTTTCCATTATTCAACACCTTTTTTAATCCTCTCATCCTCCAAAAAATATCTTTCTATTCTTTCTATAGAAAATTCTATTATAATAGCAACATAAAAAGGTAATTGAAGAGTATGCATCCAAACTATACAGCAAATTATTACAGAGGTATGTTAGAAAATTAATTAATAAAAATATGCTTTGGTTTCCTGGATTTTGTGATTATATTTGTTTTTCTTTTTTTTCCTTTTCTTTTTGAGAGGTTTTCGCTATAGGGTGCCTGCGCTCACCAGACAGAGAGAGACAGAGAGGCAGAAAGCGAGAAATCACCCTCCAGGGGGGATGGCCACACCGCAATCCCTTCTCCTCCATTCTCCTCTCAGGATCTTGGGCACGAACGCAAACGCGCCTGGCATGAATTTTAAGCCACTGGGTCCCGCGGTTGACTATGTGGGAGTCCAGCGACATAGCCATTACGCTAACTGCTGGTCCCTATATTTGTTTTTTAAATTTGAAATTTTCTATAATTTGTTTATATTTATTCTAAATGTTCTTTTTTATAATACATTTTTCAGTTTTTTAGTTTAAAATGCACTTCCTTAAATGCCTCATGTCCCAAATTATGATTATGCTGAATAGACATTTTACCTGTCCAAAGAAAGGAAGTCCACGTCTGTAATGAGAATCTGCTTTAGTAAATTTCAATGTGCTTAAGGTATTTGTGATCCGAATTAATCCATGCCCAGTCAATTCCAATCCTAAAAAAGAAACAAATGAAGTTTCACTGCTCTATATATTCAAAACTCACCTCCTACCTTCCTCCCAGTTTCAGTTCCTCATAACAAAATACCATTCATATTCTTTTCTTTTTCTTCCCTTAGTTTCTTCCACTTATCATATAGAACTATGTGACAAGTAGTTTGATATTAGCTTCAACTTCATATAAAAATTATTGCTATCCATAATCCTAATTCCTCTGGTTTGCAAGTATTCCACTTGGTTCACCTACGGTTTTGATAAAGTTCTCATCCCCTCTGTGATCTCGTTCCATCTTTGTTTCTGTCTCTCGCACATGCTTGCTTTCCTCCTACAACTTTTTGCACGCAATTAGATGCTTCATATTCACAATGGCCTAAAAATGTGTTCGAATCTCTACCACAGACTATGTCTCCTGCAAGACTTCATTGTAGGGTTTATCCAAAGTACAACCATCACCCGGTGCTTTTCCATTCAATGAAGCATAGTATGGAACATGGTCTCATCATTTAGAACACCATGCTACCAAGGTCTAGAATATTCCTGGCTTGCCCCCCCTCCCCCATACACAGTAGTCTTCTCATCTCAGACTTACATGAATTCTTGGTAGTACTTCATACATAAGTACCACTGAAACTCCTCCTTCTCCCTGTCCTGTGGCTTCTGCTTGATCTCACTGACTTCTTTGCTACTGTCTCTCCTACATGCAGTTGTATCTGCTCGTGGGCTCCATCTTTGTCCTCCATTTAACACTGCTAAGTGAGGTCAGTTGCAGGCCAATTACACTCACTTTTAGGAGGGCATGGATACAATGGGAGCTGGGAGAGTTCCTTTTATTTATTTATTGTTTTTACTATAGAGCACATGTACTCGCTGGAAAGAGACAGAGACAGAGACATAGAGGGAAAGTGAGAAAATCCATCCCTTGGGGATAGTTGGGGGTGTGAGTGGGGGATAGATGGCCATGATGCAATCTCTTTTTCTCTGTTCTCTTCTTGAGATTTTGGGCATTCACACACATGTGCCCTGTGAGATTTTCAAGCTATTAGGTCCTGGACTGTAACCATGGGGTCGGCTATGGGCTATCCAGCACCCCGAACTCCATGCTGTCTGCTGGCCCAGGAGCTTTCATTTTTATAGATTTTGCTCTGCCTTTTATAAAATATCAGTCTACTAAGTCCACTTCTTTTATTTTTTTAGCGATGTTTTCTATGGGGGGAGTGTACTTGCTGTGCTCAAGCATCCCTCCTCCTCTACTTTCTTCCTGGGTTTCTGGGCACACACGCACTGAAGCCCAGCATGAGTTTCAAGCCATAGGTCTGGAACATGAACCTGGGTCAGCTACTTGGGAGTCCAGCATCTTAATCACTATGCCACCTGCTTGCCCTTCTACTTCCTTTTTTTTTTTTTTTTTGCCATTGGGGGCATATTTTTGCTATAGGGTGCATATGCTCCCCAGACAGAGAGAGACAGAGAGACAGAAAGCGAGAAGTCACCCCCAGTGGAGATGGCCACGCTGCAATCCATTCTCCTCTCGGGATCTTGGGCACACACGCACACGCACCCGGTGTGAGTTTTAAGCCACCGGGTCCGGGACACGAACCACGGTCGACTACATGGGAGTCCAGCGGCATAGTCATTACGCTAACTGCTGGTCCCTCCACTTCCTTTTTTGATGTTCCAAATTATAAGTAATTATTTTTAATGCATTCTCATCATACTAGGTCTTTTTCATCTCCTAGTCTTTGTTAATGGCAATTTCTTCTCTCAGTCCTCAAATTTGGAATTTTAAGATTCACCTTTGAATAATCTGATGTATCACATTGTAACAAATTTTTTTATTTAGTCTGCCCTCTTCATATTTGCTAGATTATCTATTAAAATATTGATTTATGGGGATCAGCAGGTGGTGTGGTGGTCAAAGCACTGGACTCCACATGGCTAACTGCAGTTCAAGTCCTGGACCCAGTAGCTTGAAACTCAGACAAGGTACGTGTGTGTTTGCCCAAAGTCCCAAGGGCAGAATGAAGAAGATGTGGTGTGGCCATACCTGCTGGGTGGTGATTTCTCTCTTTCTGTCTTTCTGTCTCCCTCTGTCTCTCCAGTGAGTACCTGTACCCTATAGCAAAACTCTCAGAGGAAAAAAAAAATTATGTAGGTCACTATGCTCTTCAAGCAATTGAAGGTATTCAGTGCTCTTCGGAATAAAATCTAAACTTTTTAGTGTATGATTTACTTTCTTCCACAGCTTAGTTCTAGCCTACATTTTCAAATTCTGAGACTAAACACATTTTTATGCTTATTATGTTATCATTAATGCTCACCATGCATGCCCTTAATCCTTCCAATATTCCATTCTGTACAAACCAGTCCAAAGGCCACTTTCTCTGCAAAGCCTTCTTCTATCTCGATGTTAGAATGAGTTACCTGTCTTTGTACTCATGTGGCCCTTAGTTTTTACATCCTTGCAGAAATTTTATTGTGGTTATATACACACATACTGTTTTTATGTTTTAGAGGCCTAATTCCTTAAGAACAGGGACCATGTCATTTTCATAACCTACAGAATCTATAAAGTGTTTCCATGGAAGGTAGTTTGCTAAATGTGTGTTGTATTAATAAATGTCTAAAAATAACACAAACCTGTTCCCTCCTCCTTGACCTTGGCTTCCACTTGTATTGTCATGTCATATCCTTTTTGTTTTAGCTGATATGCTTTAGCCTTTATGACTTTTGTGAAACATCCTTTGTTGTCTGCCTGAAGACAAAAGGAGAGAATTGATGAGTTCTCTGATGTGCAACTAAAAAATTAGTTATCAATCTAAAGAAATTTTTATTGGCCATGCAAAACAATTTTATAGATATTCTGATCATTGTTTGTTGCTTATTCTTCCTCAAGACCAAGGATGACATAAAGTTTCTTCACTCATTATTGAATTAGTCATTACCAATTTTTTCCTTCTCTCCTCTCTTCTGAAAACTGATCCCGTTTTTGCATATTAGCCTTCCTTAAGTTCCCAAATGTGTCGTGGCATTTTGTAATTCTTTTTGCTTGTGTTCATCAAGTGATAATTCCTCTTTCCCCATTCTCACTTTGGCTAAGAGTTACTGACTCATCAAAACTCAGTTCAGATATAATATCTAAAAACGCTTCTGTAATCAAGTCCACCTGAAAATCAGCTGAGGAATATATGTTCTTAACTGCATTTCCCCAAAGTCTAGGACATTAGTAACATATACTTTCGTTGAATAGATGAATCCTTGTTACCAGTTTATCAGAGTAGTTGTGATCCATGTTTTAACAAAGATTTGCTTTCATTTTGAAGTTATTTACATAAACAATGCACAAAAATTTAATCATATTTCATTTACTTATATATAGATGCCATGACTTACTTGAAAATAAAAGTTAATTTTAATCTTTGTGATATATTAAAGGTTCGGCAGCTGGATTCCTCTCATGTTTATTTTGTTTATCAAGGTTTTTCTCGATGTTTGTCACATATTCATCACTCTTGCCTTTCATTGCTTTGCTCTCTGCAGCCTCAACAACTTTCTTTTGCGTACTCTCACAGTGCCACACCCTGGACTTTTACACACTCTTCCTCTAAAATGATTGATTCGGTCATTTCTTTTTAATATGACATATGCTACTTTGGGCTGTCTCCCTTGATCTATTACATATCTTTGCTGATGTAACTGGAGCCTGTGGTCCCTGGTCCTTCTGTATTTTCTCTTCCTTAACCTTATGCTGATTTAATTATTTCATGTGAAGTTTAGATTCTATGTCATCTGATTCTCCTTCCAAGGAAATTCCTTCTTTTTTTTTTTTTGTTATAGGGCATGTATGCTATCTGGAGGCAGACAAAGAGACATAGAGAGAGGGAAAGTGAGAAACTAACCCCCCCTCCAGGTGGATGGTTACACTGCAATCCTTTCTCCTCCATTCTCCTCTTGGGTTTAGGCATGCATGCACATGCACCTGACATGTATTTTTTCAAGTTGCCTGGTTGGGACTCAAACCAAGCAGTTGATCATATGGGATCCAGATGCCTTAGTCTCTGCACCATTTACTGGTCCCCAAACCTAATTATATTTAAATAACATTTTTGCAGGTACTAGCAAGTGGTGTGGTGATTAAGGCGCTGGACACTCCCACATGACTGACCATGGTTCAAGTCCTGGACCTGGTGGCTTGCTTTCTCACTTGCCCTCTCTCTCTGTCTCTCTCTGGTCAAATTAAAATAAATGAGTGAATAAATGCAATTAAATAAATAAAGAACTTTTTATTTCTTCCATAGGATGCATGCAGTCACTGAAGAGAGAGACACAAAGACACAGAGAGAGAGAGAGAAAATGAGAAGTCACCCTGTCCCAAGAGAGATGGCTATGCCACAGTCCTGTCTCCTCTGGGGATTTTGGGCACACTATGCACATACACCCGAAATGATTTTCAAGCCACTGGGTCCAGGACTCAAACTGTAGTCACCATGTGAGACGCCACCAACCCACTTCTTGACACTACTTTCTTCTATTATCTGTCTGATGAAAGCAAACTTTGAAAAATTCCATGTCCTTTTTATGCTCTCATACCTGGCATGTAGGTTGCTGTTGGAAGGAAATTACAAAACTGGACAAATGAATTCCACTATAAATTTATGAGCCCCACCCTTAAACGGGCCCCTAATACTGCCAGGCAATCTTACGATTTTTGTCTTACCCCTCAATTCCCTTGATGACTATTTCAAGCCCAATTTTCGATCGTGTTGTAGTCACTATTGCAGTCTGTGAGCAAGCAATACCAGGTATTGGTTCTGTGAGGAGAGTGGTTTCCACATACCTGTTGACTGAATTCGTCACAGATATCTTGTGCATATTTGCTATGACAGGCGGAATGAAATCGTAAATGCTTTCTGCATACAGTCATTGTCACCAGACCAGAGACAGGCTTTCCATATGTGTACCTGCAACAATGAAGTGGCCATACAAAAAGATATTTATTAATAATATAAATAGTATTATTAAAGAATAATTTAAATAGTAATAATTTAAATGGTGTCATTAAAACATCTACTTATAGATGTTTCTTTACCTTATTTGACCTATTTGTATAGCATTCTTACTAATCTACAGCAATTATATCACTTTCCATAACATTTGCAAAAGCTTTAGAAACACTTATTCTGAGAGACTATGTCATAATTACCTAAGTGGGAACAAACCTAGAAGAGAAAGTCATGAATCCTTTTAAAATACCTCCAATGGAAGATTACCACCCTAATTTTCTCCTTCTCAATTGAAGCTTTATCATAAGACTTACCTATTTTCTTCTTTTTCTTTTATGATTAGCTTATGATTCTAGCTTTGACAACATCTATTTTGTTTTAGGGCAAAAAACTTAAGAATATGTAAACAGTTTATTTTTTTTAATTATTGATTTTAATTTTTATTTATTCATTCATTCTTTTTCTTTTTTCTTTTTTTTTTTTAATTTGAACAGAGAAAGACACACAGAGAGAGAGAGAGGGAAAGTGAGAAAGCAAGGCATCTGGTCTGGGACTCGAACTGTGGTCAGTCATGTGGGAGTGCCCAGCACCCTAACCACCATGCCACCTGCTGGCCCCTAAACAGTTTATTTCTAAGCCCTCCCTACTTTGTACGTATTTTAAGAGGATACACAAGGGAACCTGCAGTTAGCATAATGGCTATGTTGCTGGACTCCCACATAGTCGACCGCAGTTCGGGTCCTGGACCCGGTTGCTTAAAACTCACGCCGGGCGCATGTGCATGCGTGCCCAAGATCCCGAGAGGAGAATGGAGGAGAAGGGATTGTGGTGTGACCATCCCCCATGGGGGGGATTTCTCTCTTTCTGTCTCTATGACTCTGTCTGTCTGGCGAGCGCACACGCCCTATAGTGAAAATCTCTCAAAAAAAAAAAAAAAAAAAAAAAAAAAAAGAGGACACACAAGAAGTTAGATCAGAAAGCAATAGCTATAAAACAAAAATGTTACGTATAAATATTAAGTCATCAGGAAAGTCATGACATATTTTTTCTTTTTTTTTCTATGCAAAAATGTATCATGACTCTCCTGACAACCCAATAGTATCATAATTACTGAGTTTGAGGGACCAGCAGTTAGCGTAATGGCTATGTCGCTGGACTCCCATGTAGTCAACCACGGTTCGTGTCCTGGACCCAGTGGATTAAAACTCACGCTAGGTGCGTGTGTGTCCATGCCCAAGATCCCGAGAGGAGAATGGAGGAGAAGGGATTGCGGCATGGCCATCCACCCTGGGGGGTGATCTCTCGCTTTCTGTCTCTCTGTCTCTCTCTGTCTGGCAAGCGCATGCGCCCTATAGCAAAATCCTCTCCCCCCCCCAAAAAAAATTACTCAGTTTGATTCTGTCAAAAATAATGGAAGGATGTGATGTAAAGCCAATATTAATGACTGTTTTTGCAAGCGTGCTGTGTGGACCACCTAGGCTGAAATGACCTGGGATATATACTGAGATGCAGATTGCTGAATATTGGCTCAGAATTGTGATTAGACTCCCTGGGGGTGGGGCTAGGAATTCTACACCTTAACTAAGCATCCCATAGATCCTGATGCACTTTGGAGTTTGAGATATATTGCCTTTGCTCAACTGCTAGGTAGGTAAGGTGTAGTCTCAGTATGCCAAATTTCACTTTCTCTATATCCTTCTCCCAATCCCTATAAATGCTGATAAATAATAAATTATTGACTAAATCTCAATTACTTTTTGAATCTTATCTTTAAATCTCAATTGAGAAGTTCCCTCGGGTGAAATATCTAGAGCATCAAGCCTCATAAGAGAATGAAAATGCATTTCTCATGCTCTTTTCAAAAGCAAGAGGGAAGATTTCTTTCTTCTGTGCATGTGGAGGACCCTCTAGAGTATGAAAAGGCAATTGTGGAAGATGTAACTATACTCTGCATATTTAGTTCTACCACGTGGATCCAGGATTTGAGGTACAGCATGTGCTTCCAAATGATTTTCCTGTCTGTCTATAGTTTAAGAAATGGGAAGCACAAAGAAAATGGGGTAATAGGACACAGGATAACACAGAAGTTGGGCACATGAGCTCCAGAGTTGAGCGGCCCATGTTCAGTTTAGCACAGGGTCTGGGATGTATGATATGCTTCATAAAGCTAGATATATTTTTTAAATAATTATTTTATTTAACTTTATTTATTTATTTTAATTTGACCAGGGAGGGACAGTACGAGAGAGAGAAGAAGTGAGAAAGCAAGCCCCCAGGTCCGGAATCAAACCGTGGTCAGCCGTGTGGGAGTCCAGTGCCTTTAACCACCATACCACCTGCTGGCTTCAAGCTAGATGTATTTATTTTTTTAATTGGAGAGGGTTTTTTTTTTTTTGCTATAGGGTGCGTGAACTCTCCAGACAGAGAGAGACAGAGAGATATAAAGTGAAAAATCATCCCCCAGGGGGATGGCCACACCACAGTCCCTTCTCCTCCATTCTCCTCTCGGGATCTTGGGCACTCACCCATACGTGCCTGGTGTGAGTTTAAGCCACCAGGTCCGGGACTTGAACCGCGGTCGACTACATGGGATTCCAGTGACATAGCCATTATGCCAACTGCTGGTCCCAAAGCTAGATATATTTTTAAGACAGGATATTACCATGTTATGATCCTCCTGCCTCAGACTTCCTGAGGTAAAATTTTCATGCCACCAAGCCTGGGTTCATCTGCTCATCTATCTAAACAGGATCTTGGCATATTTTCCAAGCGAGTCTGGAGTTCATGATTCTCTTTCTTCAGCCTCTTTATCTCTGCACCTGTTTTAGGTTAGACCGGGAATTGAACCTGTGCTTCCCATGTGGTCCCAGACTGCAGAGCACAGCATCTTAGCAATGGGTGATGTTGTGGCTGAACCTAAATGTAGATTTTTTTTTTTTTAAACTGAAGAAGCCCTGTAGGACGTGGTGAAGAGTTCAAGGTCTAGAGCCAGACTGTTGAATTTAAATTCCGATCTGCCACTTCCTATCTACAATAATATATGCATGGTTTTCTTCTCTAGGCTATAGTTTCTTTACTGTAAACTGAGGGTAATAATTATCTCATAGGGTTAGTGTAAAACAAAGAAGTTGTAAGTAAGGGCACTAAGAACATCAGTGCATTTTAAATGTCTAGTCGATTTTATTCGTAGAAGTGTCATGTGCTACCACCCCTGTCCTCCAGTGGGAGCTTAGGCAAGAAGGAAAGAGAGCTATTCCTGCCCTAAAATACTGCCAAGTCTCGTAACTGATATTTACAGAACATCCCCCCAAACGGAGTGTGAAATAGAAATGACGAAAAATGCCAACTCACAAGCCACAGATGGTTACTGGAAAGTCTTCATCTAGAAAACCAATGGTCTTGGGTGCTTTTACTTGGACCTCAAATTTGGGTAAAACTGTTTGCAATAGAGGAAAAACAAAAGAGGTGAGAGTGGGCAGGAGAACCTGTAGAGGTTAGCAATGGATTCAGCTGCAGAACGTTAGAACACCGGACCACACAGAATGACTTCAGGCCTGGCAGGAGCACCAAGGATGATACTGAGATTGCAATCTATTACCATGTGTGTTTTGTATGCTAAGTTAGCTTGGCTAAGCTGCTACTGCATTTCCTGCTGTCGTCTGAATTTTCACGAGATTTCAAAGGTAGAAGGAAAGCAGCACTATTAGACTCCGAAGATCATTCTAGTTATACATGTGGTAACAGAGGGGCCAATAGATTCAGGTTTATCCTTTCTCTTTTCTTGTCTGTGCTCTGCTGACTAATGTGTCTCAGACGCCCCACCAGATGCCTGGCTATGGGTTTGTTGAAGCAGGGATGCTATGGAGAGGTCTCAGACTTCCTGGGTTCTTCCATCAGCTCTGCATGGTTCCCTTGAACAGCTGAGGTGCCTGGCTTCCCAGATCCTCGGCAAGCCTTTAGTCATCCATCTCTACTCATGCTTCAGAGCTGGTTGGGAATGTTTTCTTGATATGTCAACTGACAGACTTTACTTTGCCAGCCTCTCCCCTTGTGTAAGTAATATTTTTATATTTTGTGATTCTTACGGCCGTTCTGGTAAGTTTTGAGAGTCACATTTTGTGATGGGACTCCTTGGCCGTGGCATGAGGTATTTAATTTACACTAGAAAATCCACATATCTGGTAACTAGTAAGTGGCTTCAATGTCTGATCACTACCATTAGAGGTATAGGCTATAGACAACCATGAGATAATTCAGGAAATACCTTCAGTTATAAGATATAGACAGACGGATACGCAGTGTGCAGATGACACAACGTATGGGTTAACTAAGGACCTATTTCTAGTACTGACGTGCCCATTTGTAAAATGGAATACCGATCGTATCTGCCTCATGAGGTTGTTGTAAGGACTAAATGAGATCTTGCCTGAAAAGCGCATATCCAGGTAAATAAAAAGCTTGCTAATCTTCAATTAGGATATGTTAGATCTTTGCTTACTATCTACGTGTAAAAATGATCCACCCTTAAAACCTCTAACGTCGTAAATACCTCATAAGCATTACATGCTTACCGTACTCCTTCACCTCAAAGGAGTGCTCTTCTCTTTTCCCTGACTTTTGCTGCAGTATGATCTTGTAGGAACCTAGACTGGGCTCCATTGAGAGTGGGAAAGAGAGCTGGCTGAGCCCCGACTGCAATTCGTGATTTCGCCATTGGAAAATGCGGTTCCTCTTGGGATCCTAAAGGTAAAAGTATTATGAGTTTACAGAAGCCGTTGAAACAAACACCTGTGAGGACGTGGGCAGCTTTTCAGGTCAGAATGCCATGGGGAGTTGTGTAATAGATGGTTAATAAGTTGGCACCAGATGCACTAGCAAAGTTTTCTAGGAATTCTAAACTGGAAAAAAGGACAATATGTTTACTAGCTATGAGATATTGCAGATGACATTTTATGCTGGTACCTCTTTTTGATATTAGGCAAACCTATTTCGACCAGAAATATGGGAAGAGTCGCTAAGTGATACCATCTCAAGGAATTTGGTCCTTCATTTGCATCTTATCCAGGTCTCTAAAGAATCTGAGGCACACAGGGAAGATAGTATTTGCTTAGCTTTGGTGACGTGGTGAGGGAAGGAAGGAGAGAGGTGATTTCATGTAACCTGTGGTGCGTCCTCATTCCAAAAGAGACATGCAGCATACCACCTACCTCAATAAAAATGATTGGGAACTGAAAAAAAAGAAAAAGAAAGTATGAGTGTGTGAAAGAATTTAGAAAGAGAATACAATGACATCAGCAGTGAGTCTATATTTCTTGCCAAACAAGGAGATTTCCCATGTTTGTTCAGAGCACTATAGATATTTACTCTGGGATATACAGCTCTTAAACATTCATGACTTCCTGGGGCCAGCAGATGGCGTAGTGGTTATGTTGCCAGGTGGCCAACTGTAGCATAAGTCCTGGACCCATTGCTTGAAAATCACGTCCACAGTGTGTGTACATGCCCAAGATTCTGGGAGGAGAAGGGATTGTGGTGTGGCCATCTGCCCTGGTGGGGATTTCTCACTTTCTCTCTCACTGTCTCTCTGTGTCTCTCTCTCTCTCTCTGAACCCAAGTGCCCTAAGGCAAAAGCCTCTTTAAAAAAAAAAAAAATGAATCATGACTTGCCTTTTGTGAAAAACACACAATCAAGAAAACCTATTCAGATAAAATAGGTTTTTACTAAGTTTATTATTGTTTTGCAGGTGAGATTTGTTCCACAGATGAGAGTTAAGAAAGAAATCAAATGCACTCTTGTTTCATACAAATAACTGCAACCTTAACAGTGTTTCATTTATCTAAAGAATGCAGTTGAACCGTTTCAATGCCTACTTCCTTTATTCTTCTAGATGCTGCTTTCCTGAGATCTTTCTGTGGAAGATTGAAGTATCTCTTATAGTGTTCTCAAGTTTTCCTGAAAAATAGCCACCCATTTTTGCCTGTGTCTCCTAAACTTACTCACTATTACGAGACTCACCGTTTCATCCAAAGGGTGAAAATTGACATCCACGTGGACAATGCGGAATCTCACTGAAACACAGAGATTTTTCCAATGAAACCACCCAATAAGAACCTGGGATAGTAACAGCATGGCAGAATTCCCACCACTGCAGAATAAAGTGATAAAAGAACCTCCCCTTACCCCCAAAGTTACCCTCGCTCACTTGGTTTCTTATACCTGTTTGTCCGGGTTTGTAGATGGGTTTGTCAGTCTGCATGAAGATGAGGTTCTCTGCTTTTAGGATGTTCATTGGCTTCCTCTGTACAAAATGCTGGGTTGGCCCGGTAACCTGCACAGTGATGAATGCCAAGGAGGATGGCAAGTCTGGAATCTGTAAAACAGAAATGAGCTGCAGAATCTGTCCAGACCCACTACTGAATGGCTCAGTTTTTATGATGTTCTGTTTTCCTGGTGAGCCCATGAAAAATTAGTAAGAAACAAGGGCTGGGATTATGCCCTTTATTTTCTAAGTAGATTATTGTGATTTGTAATGTGGTAGCAACAATTTGTTGATTTGCTCAAAAGAGAAAATATTGTAATGAAACAAACTGATTTTCAACCTATTCCTGAGAGTGAAGGAAATGACATGTTTATATTTTCACAGCAATAAGGTGACATTAAAATAATTATAAAATTTTATTTTCCCAAGGTCAACCACAATGTTATACCAGTATGATTAAACATTTAATATCTTAAGTAATAAAAAGTGATAAGAAAAATATATCATTTGTCAGCCATCTGTGAGATATTAGATAATTCACTGGACTTTAAGAATCTCAGTGTTGGGGACCAGCGGGTGGTGTGATAGTTAAGACGCTGGACATTCCCACATGACCAACCACAGTTCGAGTCCTGGACCTGGCAGCTTGCTTTCTCTCTCTCTGTGTGTGTGTTTCTCTCTGGTCAAATTAAAATGAATGAATGAATAAATAAAATTAAATAAATAATTCTCTTTAAAAAAATCTCAGTGTTTATATCCATAGTAGTGTGAGCATTATTTTCCTCAGAAGTTTACTTTAAAATCAAATGAAATCCCTCCTACAACTATGGTTACCTTTCACACACCACTTTATATCTGTGTAAATGTTATGTGAACATGTTCACTAGAACTTTCATTCTTAAACCTGAACTTGAAATTCACTCTACAGTCCTCCATTTTGTTTTTTGTTTTTGAGAAATCAGAACACAAGGTATTTGTGTCCAGCGTGGACTCTGACAGCCCAGAATGGTACTGACAATGAAGGGACTGCAGTAGAAAGCATTCTTCTCTGCCACCACGTCTGTGAGGAGCTTCTTGCTCTGTGTTTCATAATCGAGAGTTATGTTGAGCATCACTTTCTCATTCAGTTGGCTAAGGACGACACAGGCCTTTTCAGGAGCTTCGGCATAGAGCTGTGATGGGACCACCACCATGTACTGCCTGTGGAGAAGAACATCTGGGTCAGTCATGAGGAGTAAAGGAGACATAGTCAGTGTGGACGTGGTCTGGGTCATCTTTGCTGTTATCACCAATCATGTGTTAGCAGGAACATATTCTTCAAAGGCCAACCCAAAAGATCTGAGGAACTCTGTAAACCCCACATTAAAACATGGGTATGGTTTTCCCATGCTGTAGAAAGAGTCATCCTCAGGATACTGGAAAGCATAATAGCCATCAGTAAGTTGTTCCATATTTGAGATAGAAATTTCAAATGTACATCATGAAGATAAATCAGCATATCATAATTAAAAGCATGAAGAACCTGACTGTTGGTGGTCTTGAGTTTCATACAGATGATACCATGAATCTCTTTGTTCTAGGAATCACTAAACAAATCTACTTTTAATATGTGAAGAGAAGCTAAATTGCTTTTTGCTATGGCGTCTGAAGCAGTCCTAGCTCTCTTCTTTCTTTCACTTTCTGGTAAAGAAAGAAAAGTCAAATCAATCCAGGCTAATCACCTGACATATCACCATGTTACTGTGGTTTGAATGTGCTCTCAAAATTCATGTGTTGAGATGTAGTTGTGATGGGATTAAGAAGGTAGAAACTTAATGCAACTGCTGTGGCCAAGAGCCTTTGGGAGAATAAGGTCAGTAGCATACACGTGATCAACTGCTGGTGGGTTTATAAGGAGAGGAAATGAGACTAGAGACAGACACTTGGACGTAGACAGACATATGCACCCCTGCTCTCTCACCATATGATATCCTGCCCCACCTTGGGGTGCCTCCAAAGGAGACCCTCACCAGAAGTGACTCCTGGACTTGAGACCTCAAAACTACGAGCTGAATAAACTCACAGTGTTTTTATAAATTACAGTCATACATGTTTTCTTTTATTAGCAATAGAACAAAGTAGGACACATATACACCCCGAAATGAATCCACTTTCCTGTCACTGCCTGCCTTTCACTTACAATCACCCAAACATTACAACTCTGGGAGGCTGCATCTTTGCATGCGCCCCTCTTTTTCTGAGTGTTCTTGTCCATGTGGAAAACTATTCACTTCCTAAAGCTTAATGCAAAGGCAACATTCTCTACGCAAAGTTTGGTGATGTCTCTTCTCTTATATCAGGTCCCATGAAGAGTAAATATTTTGTGGCTATTCTCACAGAATCCTCAAAGCCTGCTTCTGATTTATCAATAGTGTTGTATTTCATTCTCTGGGCACCATCTTTCTTCTCTTCTGTATTTTGAGGTATTAAAGGCAGGGTCTGAATTTTTTCATTTGTATATTCTCAAGACCTAATGTCAGCCCCTAATGGTTTGCTGAAAGACTGAGTGAACTGGCACCCAAATCCTGGCTGGTCCATAGGCAAGGCATGCAGCTTGCCATCTCAGCAATTTCTGGCTTGGAAAAAAACACAGAAACTGGGCCACGTTACATTAGTCAAGCTACTGCAACCCTTTTGTAAGCCAAAAAAGCACTTGTCCTAAGTTTGGTTTTGGTGGGAATCTTAGAGTCTCATCCCTCTCCTGTGTTTCTGAGTTTTCTAGAAGAGGAGTATGTCTCTTTCCATGTGAGCAAAAAATAACTTACAGACTTTTCTAAGCCTTTTGACAACATATAATTGCATAGGGAATACAGAAACAAAGGTCAAGAAGGACAAAACAGGGACCAGCAGTTGATGTAATGGCTATGTTGCTGGACCCCCATGGAGGCGACCGCCGTTTGAGTTTTGGACCCGGTGGCTTAAACTCACGCCAGGCATGTGTGCATGTGTGCCCAAGATCCCAAGAGGAGAATGGAGAAGGGATTGTGGCATGGCCATCCCCCCTAGGGGGTGATTTCTCGCTTTCTGTCTCTCTCTGTCTCTCTCTGTCTTTCTGGCACAGAGCATGCATGCCCTATAGCAAAAACCTCTCAAAAAAAAAAAAATAAAGAAGGACAAAACACAATGGGAAAGAAGGAGGGCAACAGAGAAATATTGCTTACGGATTTGTAGTAGCTGAGGCATCTCTGGGAAGGAGCAAGAAGAGTAGAATCCAGACTGGCTTCGGCAGTGGGTTTCCCCTCATGGTGTGGCGAGGGTGAGGCATGTGGGAGCCTGAGCCCTTCAGGCTTTGAACTCTGTTCTTGCTCCAGATTCACTGGTTTTTATTTTACCCGATGGGCAGTGAGAGTAAATGGCTAACCATTTATTTCTGTAACATATTAACTACTTCCAGTATAAAAAAATCAATTCCAGACTATTTCCATGACCATCAATATTCTTTCATCTATTTTCTCAAATTTTCTAAATGCTGGACAAATTGTACCTTCAGGTTACTTTTGGTTAAGGTTACTAATTAACACCTTAAGTATTTTTCAGGAAAAGCAAAATAAATAAATTACATTGTTTGATGAAATGAATCAAAATCTTTTTCTTCCTTTCATTTTTCTTTCTACTTAGGAGCTCTATATCTAAAATCTCTTCATGGTAGTTTAGGAAGTATTAGAAGTACTTATCCAAGATCGACTTTATAAGACTCTAATGTTAGCAGGAAATGAAATCAACCACAGAGTTTTAAGCAAAATAGATATGGAGCCAATCATTCCACTGTTTAAAAGCTTTAACTTTTGCTTTTTACACCTATTCTTATATTAATTTATTATAAAGAAAATGATTGTGGGCTGGCCCTATAGATCAGGGGTTAAGGAAGTTGGAGCCCACATGGCTGACTGCAGTTTGAATCCCAGTTCTGGCAGCTTGATAAACACAATGGGTGTGTGTGCACATGTGTCCCAAATCCTGATGGGATGAAGAAATGAAGGAAAAAGAATTACGGCATGAGCATACCTCATTGAAGGGTGCTTTCATCTTTCTCTGTCTGGCAAGCGCATGTGCCCTTTGGCAACATAAAAAGAGAGAGAGAGAGAGAGAGAGAGAGAGAGAGAGAAAATAAGTTCATTTGGTTCCAACAACCATGTAATAAAGTTATCATTTCCCAATTCACTCTAGGATATAAAGCCAGTGAATAAATTTTATTCTATAATAACTTTACATTTCTCTGATTAACATTCTCATTTAGTTTATCTTCAGTGTTATAAAAATATTTTATCAATAGTGAATCGTCATCCTGTTTGCATTCTAAGGGTGACTAAGATGTTAGAATCTATTTCTATGAAATCTTAAAAATAAGAAATATTCCCCTGTTACATTATTATATAAAGGTTCCCACACAATTGAAGTTTGTATATTTCAAGTAGAGAACTGTTCTAAACTATAAGCTAAGAGAGAAAGAGAGACAGGCATTTCCAAGGATGGAGAATATTTTCTTGGGTTCACCTTTAAATTTTTCCTAGGCAGGTCTCAACATACTTTTTGTGTATGACCTGAAAGAGTGGAGAAATAAAGACGACATATGTGAAGTGACAAGCTTTGGTGACCTGCAAAACTACAGATGTGTGAGGAATTAAAATTCCAGTGATAATAATAAACTATGGGTGAAAAATTGCAAAGTCAAATGTGATAATAACTTGTAATAAATAGTGAATAACTTTTGAGAGATCTTTGCATCAATTTTTTCCAAGCATGATTATATTTTTGAGACATGTACATAATCTGATCAAATATAAAATGACTAAATATAAAAAGTCCTTTTTTTGATGAAGCAAAACTTATCATCATAGTTCAAACTTTTAGAATGGAAGAATACATTTGAAGTGTTATCAAAATTTTATCACTATGACTTGTAATTAAAAATATTATATAGAGTATATGAATAGAGAAGACTTAATGCTAGGCAAAGCAAGTTAGATTATGAAAGACAGACTTTGTATGTTCCCGCTGAATATATACTAAATGTCTGCACTTCAAGGTAGAAACTGAAAGAGTGAAAGAAGACACAATGGCAGAAATGGCAAGTGTCAGAGCTGGCAGGTGGTATGGTGGTTAAGGGTGCTAGATTCCCACATGGCTGACCGTAGTTCAAGTCCTGGACCTGGTAACTTGCTTTCTCACTTTCCTCCTCTCTCTTTCTCACTCTGTCCCCCTCTGGCCAAATTAAAATCAATAAGATAATAAATAAATAAAGTCCAATATGATAATTTTTTAAAGAATTATTTTGTTGGGACCAGCAGTTAATGTAATGGCTATGTTGCTTGTCTCCCATGTAGCCAACCGCGGTTCAAGTCCCAGACCTGGTGACTTAAACTCATACTGGGTGCATGTGTGTGCGTGCCCAAGATCCCTAGAGGAGAATGAAGGAGAAGGGATTGGGGTGTGGCCATCCCCCCTCGGGGGGGGTGATTTCTTGCTCTCTGTCTCTCTGTCTTTCTGGAGAGCACATGCGCCCTATAACAAAATAAAAATCCTCTCAAAAAAAAAAAGAATTATTTTATTTAACTTTATTTATCCATTTATTTATTTATTTCAATTTGACCAGAGAGGGACATGTAGAGAGAGGAAGAGAGAGAGAAAGTGAAAATTACTTTATTTAGCTTTATTTATTTATTTATTTATTTATTTAGAGGGACAGAGAGAGAGGGAGAGGGAGAGGGAGAGAGAGAGAGAAAGAGAGAGAGAGAGAGAGAGAGAGAGAGTAAGAAAGCAAACCACCAGGTCTAGGACCCAAACCATCGTCAGCCTTGTAGGAATCCAGTGCCCTTAACCACCACACCACCTGCTGGCCTCCAATAAAACTAATCTTAAAAAAAAAAAAAAAAAAAAAAAAAAGAGGGAACCAGCAGTTAGCGTAATGGCTATGTCGCTGGACTCCCATGTAGTCGACCACAGTTTGTGTCCCGGACCCAGTGGCTTAAAACTCACGCCGGGCGCATGTGTGTGCGTGCCCAAGATCCCGGGAGGAGAATGGAGGAGAAAGGATTGCGGTGTGACCATCCCCCCTGGGGGGTGACTTCTCGCTTTCTGTCTCTATGTCTCTCTCTCTGTCTGGCGAGCGCACGTGCCTTATAGTGAAAAACCTCTCCATAAAAAAAAAGAAAGAAAGAAACAGTAAGTGTAGCTACCAGAGACTGTACAGTGAGAGTGGACAGTTAGTGGTGGGAGAAAGAGGCTCATGGGAAAAAAATAAAAACAAAACCAAAAGAAACTAAACATTTAACAGACACAGAAATGAAAAGATATTGTATATGGTAATATCTTTGACTTGCCTGAAATTTATCCATGCTTTGAGAACCCAAATTGTATGTTGTAAAGATATACAATAAACGTAAATAAAAGATAAATATAATAAAAATGATTATCTTCTGGAAATCCATCCTCATTAATTTATGAGACTTCTTGTCTGATTCAAAATAACTTTGTTTTTCTTTAGAACTTATTTCATAGTAAAGAACATCATTCACAATTTAATATATACTTTCAAAATAACCAGTGGAGTGAATTTTGAATGTTCAGAATGTAATGTAATGTTATATGTTGAAGGTGATGAATATGTTTATATCCTTTGTGTGTTTATTGCACACAACATACATACTTTTTTTTTGGAGAGATTTTTGCTATAGGGTGCGTGCGCTCACCAGAAAGACAGAGAGAGACAGAGAGACAGAAAGAGAGAAATCACTCTCCCAGGGGGGATGGCCACACCACAATCCTTTCTCCTCCATTCTCCTCTCGGGATCTTGGGCACGCATTAAGTCACCGGGTGTGGGACTTGAACCATAGTTGGCTACATGGGAGTCCAGCGACATAGCCATTATGCCAACTGCTGGTCCCCCCTCCATACATACTTTTAAAAGCCATACTGTATCCCACAAAGTTGTATAATGATTGTATGTAAATCATAAATTACAATAAAAATAGGTAAAAAAAGTTTTAGTAGATCACTTAAAATATTTGACATTATAGGACAAAAACAATACTTTCTCAGCACAGTCAGCTAAGGCTTTTTTTTTTTTTTTTTGAGAGAGAGATTTGTTTTGCTAGAGGGTGCATGCACTCCCCAGAGAGACACAGAGAGACAGAAAGTGAAAAATCACTCCCCAGAGGAATGGCCATGCCACGATCCCTTCTCCTCCAATCTCCTCTCCGGAATTTGGGCACTCACACACGTGCCCAGCATGAGTTTTAGGTCAGCAAGTCTAGGACTTGAAGCACGGTTGACTACAAGGGAGTCCAGCGATGTAACCATTATGCCATCTGCTGGTCTCCGGTTCAGGCTGTTATACTCTTATGATCTTCAGACTGTATTTTTATTTCCTAAAAGAATTTTATTCAATAGGTAATCCTTCATACTTACTTGGCATCTAAAAGTTTTCATCATGACCAAGATGAGTAAAAAATGTAATATAAACGATACTTATAAAAGTGTAACATCACTTTTTAATGTATCCACTAAAATGCTGCAGTGGTTTGTTTCCTGTCACCATTCATTTAAAATATACATGAATTTTTTTAACCAGTTGGAAATTTTACATTACTCTTCTTTCTTTTGGATTTTGTATTTTCATTCTATTCCCCCAGGTAACTTTATCCTGGTGTTTCATGCTTGAAGGTATTTTATTGATTACCCTATCATACATTTCTTCAACTAAAGATAATCAAAACTATAAAAGAGGTTCTTCCGACTATAAAGTTCTAGGTAGTAGTAAAACGTTTCTAGGTTGAGATATTAAAATGATTATCAATATGTGTATTACTTATCAAAACTCCACACGTGTTATAATCTTTTATTTTTTTAATAGAGGTTTTTGCTATAGGGTGAGTGTACTTGCCAATGAGAGAGAGACACAAACATACAGATACAGAAAGCAAGAAATCCTCCTCCTCCCACCCCCCCAGGGGAGATGACCACGCTACAATCCCTTCTCCTCCATCCTCCTTTCAGGATTTTGGGCACACATGCACGCGTACCTGATGAGTTTCAAGCCACTGGGTCTGGGACTTGAACCAGGGTCAGCCATGTGGGGGTCCAGTAATGTAACCACTACACAACCTGCTGGCCCTGTATAATCTTAAGAAATACTAAGCATGAAGAAAAATTTTGAACGTAATTTCTTAGTGAAATAAATCATATTCATTTGGCTCCCTCAGATTATTGCTGGATTGAAACAAATTTCGGGACTAGCAGATGGAGTAATGGTTGTGTTGCTCTACTCACATGTAGTCAACCGGGTTTGAGTCCCCGACCCGGTGGCTTGACATTCA